CAAAAAGGGAATAAAGGAAAACATTGACTCTGGTGAGAATGCGCCTATTTTTGTGTCTCTGGGTAGTCAGCATCCCCTACATTACAGTCCAACCAGAATGTTATAAATTCACCCATCCTTGCAGAGTTGGAACTGGGGGAAAAAATGTCAGCTTTACTGCATCTCCTGTAACTAAAAGGTAAATTTACCCTATAAACTCTGAATGTGAGAACACCACAGAAAGCCTTGAACTAGCCACAAAGTTGAGAATGTAGGCCATCAGTGCTGTGATTTTGATATTGATGAGAAAGATGAAATCTTAAAATTCTAGCATTTTCTGGGATTATAAACAAAGAGAAAGATCAGAGAGGAATACCCAGGAAGGAGCAGCATCAACAAGAAAGGGCCCTTTCATGTCACCAGTGCCAATCACATTGTTCTTACGTGAGACTGAAGCCTGGTGCTGGCCTGGGGCAAAGAAGCATTCGCTCAGGAGGAACATAGAGGAGAACAGCTATAGGAGATTCAAATCAATTTCAGTGGGCTGCCAACCTTTGAAAATCGGATTGAGCCACGTTGAAGATGAATACAGAGGACTCAGCTCTCCACGCTGACGTGTAGGTAGGATGTGTTGTTCTCTGAATGACAGTGACTGCAAGACAACAACTGTGCCTCGATCTACAAGAATCACCTGTTGGCTCTCCGTAATCCTCCTGTGAACAGGTACTATTCCTCCCACTTCACAAACAAGAAAACAGTTGCAGTCTCAGTGATGCCTCCAGGATTGTTCAGAGAAAATTGTCCATGTGTAGCAGGAAGACCAGGAGCAAAGGGGACCTCATCAAAAGATGCAAATATGGGCTGGGGATTTAGCTCAGCGGTTCCACCGCCTGCCTTGCAAGGGCAAGGACCCGAGTTCAATCCCCAGTACCAAAAAAAAGCAAAAAACAAAAAAAAGATGCAAATACTCCGAAGTTGAAAAAAAATCTGAGATCCAGAACTTTTCTGGGTTCTAAGAATTTCCAGACAAGGGATATCAACCTGCAGCAACTTTTATTTACTATTATAATCTTCCAAAACAATCGTACCTGCATGGACATTCACCCAGAAATAAGTTATTTTGAAAGGACCAGTTGTTGAAGACTTGATTACTGCAGCTCATGACACAGTTGGCAGAAAACAGGTGCAGTTTCCTTTGCATGAGTTAGAGATTTGCCTCTTCAAATCTTGCGTAAATTAAATGTCAGGAAGTGTTGGTTTCACTAGAGTGGTACAGGGAATATTATACTCCACAGAGTAAGAAGAGCAAACCTAATATAGAATTTTTGAGGATCAAGTAAGATAATGCACGTGAAACCACTTGGTAAATCAAAAATCCCTATGCAATGTAAACTAGCATAATTATTTTTATCACACAGCATTTTTCTGCCTCCATTCTTAATAAAATAGCAGTCCTCTTCAGGGCCTCTAGAAGCCAAACCAAAAGTGTGTCTCCAGCCTAACGAAATGTAAAGGTAATTGAGGATGTTCAATAAATATTAAACAGCCTCACTATTTCTGGGAAGCTTCAAGTACATGATTAAGTTGCAGGTGGTAGTAAAGAAAGCCAGCATGATCTTTAATTATAAAATACTTGTTAGATTTGATTCCAGGAATATGCAATTATCTCGAGACTTCTGGTTATAACTCACAAGAGGTTATGTTCCCAATATGAAATGTTTTGTGGGCACACATTTGGCTCCATTGTTTGGGATCATCTACCCCAGTCCTGGCTCCTGCTTGTTTCACCTGATCACCATTAACTTGGCGAGCTTTACAGGAATCCCCAGTTGTGTGCCTGCTGTTCCGTGGCCTGCCTTGAAGTATCTGAACATCACAGAAGTGGGGATAAGGGCAACGGTGGCAGACTATAGTATTAGCTAGGCTCAGGGAGAAAGGGACTTAAAGGGAATTCAAGATTTTATAGTGGACAAAAGAGCTCAGTAGGAGGGAGAAACTGGAATTGTCCTGGTCCTTGTCCCCATGATTATAATGCAAACATTTTTTTTAAATGAACAAGGACACCTCTCTATTTCGTTTAGGAAAATTATCCCTCAGTCTGTGTAGCTTTATTTTTAAGTTGAAATTTTTAATCAGTGTGTAGTTTTTGAACCTTACCATGGAAGCGATTGGTGGGCTAAGAAAATGTCATTTTTGAAAGCCTTTTTCAGTTGCTTGCTGGGAGGGCTCCAAAAGCCTTTTGTGAAGAACATTGTTATGTAATAATAATAGGTAACACTTAAATAGCGTGTCCTACGTGCCATATACTAGCAAGTACTACATCATACATGTTGACTCGAACCTTATAATGAAACCATAGGAAATTGAGGTGCTTACACTAATTAGTCTATAATCACATATGATCCTGTAATAAGAAGAGTCAGCTTTTGTGTCCAGGTAATCTGGATACAAAATCATTGCTCTCCTGAATCCTACCCCACTACCTCTCAGGAAAATAAAGGTTTCACTTGTATTTGGGTTGTGAGAAATCCGTGTCTGTCTGTGTGTGTGTGTGTGTGTGTGTGAGTGTGTGTGTGTGTGTGTGTGTGTGTGTGTGTACATATTCCACCCAGGTAGAATGTTAATGATGAAAATATTTACCCAGTACAAACTACTCTGTAGATTTTCTTTTGCACTAAAGCAATTGAATTTTCCTAGTTTCTTTCTATGTTCTTTGGTTTCTTCCTGCGTGATTACATCTTCACATTGGATTTAGGTTCTTTGCTAATGTCAAAATGATTCTGTAGTAGAGTTCCTTTTAAGAATGAACCTGGTATCATTTCTTTTTCTTTTAACGTTATCACTACCTTAAATTATACTCAAGAGCTTGCATGGCAGATGATCATTAGTCTACTTTTAGACATCTACTTGATTTTATTTGCTTTCTTTGCCTCACCCTAAATTTGTTCTTGGTAGGAGTATCGAGCATCAAAAAACATAATTCTTCAAATGGAAAATACTAGTCTATAGAGAAAGCTATGTATGTATTTCTGTTTAAAAGAAAGTGTGTACTGCAGACATTCGATGATGAGGAAAATGTTATGCAGCCTTCAAAACAGAGAGCAAAATATTTCTTCAGATCAAGTTGTGAGAGGGGAAACTGTTCTGGGTATGAAGTTAGATCAGGCAGAGACACAGAAAACAAGCAATCCTGGGTTTTCCCCAGCTCTCCTACTTCCCAGTCATTTAGGGTTGCAGACCCTTCTCCAACCCTGTCATATGGAGGTAGCAACACCTAGATTTTCTGTGAGAATCTAAATACAGTGTTTAGCACATGCCAGGTAATTAAATTATAGTACCAAGAAATAATTCGTTCTGTTCAGTGTATCACCTTATGTAAAAAATAGCTTCATGACCATCGTTGAGGATGGCTTTCTGGCTCCCACGCTTCAATTTAAAAAACTGTAAGGAACAGTAGTTAAATCTCAAAATACTAGCGTCTAGTCAGTCCCAGCTCTCCTACTTCCCAGTCATTTAGGGTTGCAGACCCTTCTCCAACCCTGTCATATGGAGGTAGCAACACCTAGATTTTCTGTGAGAATCTAAATACAGTGTTTAGCACATGCCAGGTAATTAAATTATAGTACCAAGAAATAATTCGTTCTGTTCAGTGTATCACCTTATGTAAAAAATAGCTTCATGACCATCGTTGAGGATGGCTTTCTGGCTCCCACGCTTCAATTTAAAAAACTGTAAGGAACAGTAGTTAAATCTCAAAATACTAGCTGGTCTAGTCAGACAAAATATTAATCCCCACCCACCCTCCCACTATACAGATGAGGAGACTGAGGACCTGAGGAAGTAGGTGACTTGCTCATGGTTCTATACCTAGCAAGTGATGAAGATAAAATCGGAGCTAACCACTCTGCCTCCTGGGACTTTGGTCATAGTTGCTGTTTTTCTTTGTACTATTTAAATTTTAGGCCAGTAGGGGTCAGCCAAGAGCAATCCGCTTTCTAAATACGCTTGTTGCTCCTCACCTCCAAGAGCTTGAGATACAGTAGAGGTTCTAGGAAGGCGAAAGAGTATAGTTTGTTCTTGGTCAGCATGGTCCACGAGAGAGTAATAATCATTTATAGACAGCATGATTAAAATTGAGATTGTGCTTATTCTTGGAGACAGTGCTTTCATCATAATAACTCAGTAACGGGTGCTCAGGTCCAGGCCAGGAAGGACTCTGAGAAGCCTGTTATGAAACCAGGTAGATATAAGTGTCTTGCTACAGGAATTCTTAAAATTATGCCATGAAATAAGAAGAGGCCCCAGTTGTTGATTCTTCGTGCTAGTTCACCGCAACTGAGGTCTTGTTTATGAACTCTTTTCCTAAGCCAATGTCTTCCTCTCTTCCAGCTGGTTTAGTGTTTCTGTTTTAATATTCAGATCTTTGATCCATCTCAACTTTAGTTTAGTGCTTGGTGAGAGATATAGGCCTCGTTTCAACTTTGGCAAGTTGAAACCAAATTTTTCCAGCACCGTTTATGAAAGAGGCTCTCTTTCCTCCAGGGAGGGTGTATGCATAATAGATAATGTGAAATAGGAAGAAAAGGTCCAAAGGGGAAGCGAAAGCGGAAGTGGGAGGGGTAAGGGAAAGGAAAGAAGGGAAAGGAATAAATACGAGAAAAGGAAAAAAAAAGGAAACAAAGTCTTTGTTAATAAGGCGGGGGTGGAGGGGTTGAAGGGAGGGTAAGGAAATGAGTGGAGCAAATAAGAACAAAGATATATCACGTAAAGGCACAGATTCCCACTGATGAACGTCATCATACTGTATACCGAACATGTACCAATAAACACAATGAATGGAAAATATGTCATGAAATGATACACAAAAAGAACTTATTCCAAATTTTAAAAGTTTACTTAAATTAGTAGACTAAGTCTCACATCAATACCATAGTGCATAGACTTGGTTAAAATGGTACCAGTCCTTACCCTTCTCTGCACCATGTGCATATAAAGTCCATTCTGGTCGAATCATTGTCGGGATCCTGCTCTTCCTGCGAAGGCTGCCTAATTCATCGGCACGATCTCTGTGTACCAGGTCCTGGGTCAGTGGATGTGTCACGACGTATCCTCATCCTCGTCCTCGTCCTTCTGCCTGCCTTGCTGGCTTTGACTCACCAGTCAGCAGCTATCTCCACGCGAAGAAAGCACTCACTGACTTTGACTTTATGCATGGCAGTGGATGGGCTATTATTTCCTTATCTAGATTAATGCATAGTTACAAATAATAAATAGTTCACACTTAGTAAACAATGCTTTAGTCTTTTTCAAGGAAATATGGTGACACTTATTTTTAATTAATTATCCTTTTAATTGTACAAACTCATGGGATACCATGTGATAGTTCAATACATGCAATGAACAAATCAGTGTAATTAACATTTCCACTGCCTTCAACATTTAATTTTTGATTGAAATTTTATTCTTTTTAAAAAATCTCCCATTTCATAGGACTCTCAGCAAGTCAAATATATGGGCATAGAACTTAAAAGTAGATAGATACTAAATGCTGGAAAAGCCAGAGCAACTGTATCCTTTAATTATTTATTTGTGTCATAATAATGGTTTGCACGCTGCAGAGTGTGTGTCTCCACTTTTAATTTTTTCCCTTTCTTTTGTTTTTCTCTTTTAGTTGCTGGCAGCATATTTAAACATTTTAAATAGGCTAAATTTCAAAAGGCTTCCCCCGCCCTCATCCCCAGCAGGACCAAAATGAATTCTGACCTATGGGTCATTCCTTTTCTCATGGGCTATTGTTGTTTGTTTCATTTTGTTTCTGTGGCACTGAGAATTGAACCTAAGGACTTCTACGGAGCTACATCCCCAGCTGATATTTTGAGACAAGAGTTTCATTAAGCCATCAAATTGCCAAATCTGGGCTGTAATTAGAGATCCTCCTGCCACAGCCTTCCAGAGTGCTGGGAATAAAAGCAGAAACCACCACACTCAAATTCATATGGTTTTATTAAAACCTGTAACATTCAACGCACATCAGTTGGGTTGGCACAAGAATAAAATATTGATGGGAAGCAATGTTTCTGAATAGGAAGACTTATTTGCTGAAGAATGTAAATTTCAGTGCTGAACTTGAGAAGTGCTTTCATTGACTTTGTTTTCTACCATGTCACACTATTAACAATGGCAAGGAGTAACCTAGAAAGTCCCAACTTCAAGAAACTGAAAATACTAGGTTGGATTTTGATTTGTACCAGTCAGCCTTGGCTTTCTTTCTGTCAGTGGGCAGAGTTTCCTTTGGGAAACCTTGTTTGGCCACAGAACACTGAGGGTTTAAAATAGCCTTTAAAAAAAAATCTCTATTAATTCACTTTCTATAACTGGAACAGAATACTTGAGACAATTAACTTACAAAGAGAAAAGGCTTATTTTGGCTCACAGGTTTGGAGATTTTCAAACCAAGGTAAGGTTGACCCATTGCTTTGCACCTGTGACAGGGCCGGTGATGGCAGGAGTGGGGGTGCACGGTGGGGCGAACTGCTCACCTCATGGCCAGGAAGCACAAGAAAAGAGGAAGGGGCCGGGGGCCCAAGGTTTCCTTATGGAACACAGTGACTGGAGATGCTCCCACTACGTCCCACCTCCCAAACGTTTCACAGCCCCCAGAAGGGAGACCAAACATGCAAAATATGGGCCCTTGTAGGAAGTTCTAGATCCAAAGTATAGCAAGAGCTTTACATTCAGGAGTAAAATTTATAAATAACATAGTTGCAGTGTTTTGGAACAAGAATGTGACAGGAGGGTGTCATTGATCAGTTTAAGATAAACTTGTCTGTGATACAGAATTTCCAAAATAGGCATGAAAAACACATGAGTGTTTTCCTATAGTAATTTCTAAACTCATTGTTATCTCTTGCCAACATTAATGTGAATATTCAAGAAATGCCATTGTCCTGGTTGAGCTTCTCTTAATTGGGATCTGGTATCATCTTTCCAGGAATTACTGTCCAGCAAATACTATGCAAAATTAGAAAATGTCACTTCTTATCTGACTTTTCTGTCATGTCAGCTCCTCTTAAAGAATTTTATTAAGATTTTTAGGGAATATACTATTTTTTTCTGAAAGAAATAAAGCCCACCGACACGTGCTCATCAAGAATAGCAGAAGAAGCAGTTCGTTGTCTTCTTCAAGCTGTCAGTCTCAAGCAGCTCACAGAAATTAGCCCCATGAAATGGCATGAACCTTATCTGTCAATGATTTATAATGCTACACCCTTGGCTAGAAGAAATAATTGAAACACGCCATGCCATAATAGGAATTCCTATAACAACAAAAGTAGCAGGTAGAAAAAGTTCTCTCAGTAATGGAAACTCGTGGCTCTTTTAAAATCAAATAGAGCAATGAGAAAAGGAAAAATGGAAACAAAGTCTTTGTAACTAAGGAAGGGTAGATGGGGAGAAGGTAGGGCAGGGGTAAGGGGAAAAAATGAGAACTAAGACCTGTCACGTAAGGGTACAAGATCCCAATGATGAATGGAACCGTACTGTATACTTTAAAAGTACCAATAAACTCAATAAGATTTAAAAAATCAAATAGTCCATTACATCCTGAGATGGGAATGAAGATTTGCTCCATCAGGCTGTGGAGAGGACACAGAAGCTCAGAAAGGGAGGAAGGCTGCTCCTCCCCTGCTCCCTCAGGGCCCGCTCCTGAGTCATCCCTCCTCCAAGTAGCTCAGAACCATACAGCCGTTCCCTAACTTCTCCGTGTCCCCAAGTTGAAGTAAGGGTGTACTTACTAACTTTTCTCATCTCTCATTAAACAATCACAAGAAAGTGGAAATTCCTCACCCCATATCTTCTTAAAGATCCTAGATGTCATAGAAAAGGCTCCATGCAGTTTCAGGCACCAAAAAATGCACCCACAACATAAAGGGTAGTTGAGAGGTGGAGGTATGAAATGGTATCCCCAAGATCTACTCTTTCTTAAGCTATAAACAAATATTCTCTATAATCTCCTCTCTACATCAGCTGATTAATAAACTAAGACTTGTTTCAGGAGGGAGATAGAGAAGAGATCATTTGCTAAGGAAACCAGGCTTGTTTTGGTTTTTGTATTTTATTCCAGGAGCTTAAGACCAAAGGAAGGTTTCTATTGGCAAGTAGGTTTGGCCAGAAATGAATTGATTGCCTTCACAGGCTCACTGAACTATAGGAACTATCTCCAGATGCTAGAGAAGAGAAAGTTAGTGGACCTCAAGCCAAAATGCAAAGAAGCAAGAAACATTAAGCATAAGACAGGAGCCTAAATCTCCTCTTCAAATAGCTTCAGCCTCTCAAGGACCTGCATCAACAGTTGTGACTCCAGTCTGTATAAACTTGCAATGAAATCCTTATATAATGAATGAGTCCTCCCCATGAGTCAAACACAATTTGATATTGAACTCAGAACTACCAGTAGGGATCAGAACATGAGGTGTTTTTCAGATTGACTATTTGATTATTTATTTTATGGCACTATTTCTCTAGAGCTTTGGAAGTACAAAAGCACCTGCTGTATACTTTAAACATATGTAGATTATTATTTTATATTTTAAAAACTAGCATTTTTATTTTAGTTCTTAAAGGCTATACTCATGAAGTGAAATAAAGAATTCAATCAAAGAAAAATCTGATTCCTCGAGTTTGTGGTGACAATATACCTATTCAATCATCTATTCAGGGTCTGTTCATATCTCTTCTTGATCTTAGCTGCATGAATAAGATATTGCATTCTGTCAGAAAACATAACACCTCAAATGGCATTATATTTTAGGTGGAATAGGAAAAGTATAATGCTAAGCAACTTATAACATCACTTAGTTGGTTAGGCGATCATATTAATAAGACCACAGTTGAGGGTTACAATTATGAGCCAGTTGGCTGTACTCAGGTCATTTACTTCCTACTTGTCTCTAATATCAGTTTTTAGTCAATTTTTGGTATGGATACAAAAAGAGAGCTCTCCAGGGGCATAAATGAACCACTGGAAGTTTTCACTCGTATTAGAAAAGTGGCTTAGAGCCTTTATCCTAGGAATGGCAGTTAAGGAATGCCTGTACTCAAAACTGTGAGCAAATTGTCAAACTGAAGAAGAATCCAACAATCACAAATTGGCAGGTTGCCTATTGAATAAATCCCACATTATTGTTTAGCCTCTACAGTGTTTTAAAAACTAGTTCGCTACTTAACAACATTAAAAGATTGGAAGAAAACACAAAAGTAGGGTTGTTTTTGCTTAGCAAAAATCAGCTAGATCTGAGCAGCTCTGCTCCTTTGGACAGAGCATGTGCTACCAGTTCACCTCAGTCCCTGCCACATGTTTTCTGCTCCCCTCCCTCCAACCATATACAGGACCTACCTCAGCAGGCAGATGAACACGCATCTACATGAAGTTTCTCTGTGCATAGGTCAGTTGTGGGATCTGAATCTTTTGTGGAAAAAGAGAAAGTCCACTCATTTGGTAGATGAAGTGTCAAAAATTGCTTTGAATAAATGGTAGAGAAGGCAAAAGTTGCTCTGTGTTCAAGAGCAAATACGTACGAATGAAAAGCCAGAGAATGTATGAATCATTCTTTGACTCTCTCTTTCTCTCTCTCTCTCTCTCTCTCTGTTTCTCTCTCTCTCTCTCTCTCTCTCTCTCTCTCTCTCTCTCTCCA